CAGCCTGTAGAATTAAATGGTGTCAGTTTTCATTTTTATGTCACAATAACTGTGCTACTGTATATTAAATCTATTTTTAATAAAAAAAATACACCTGAAGTAACTGGAGATGAGGTTTGTATCGTGTAAACTGATACTAAATATGCCAAGACCTAAAAACACTGCACACCAGTGAAATTGCAAAAACAAAAAAAAAAAAAAACCAGTACCCAAAATGTTCTATAGGCAACACTATAAAAAAGTCTTTAGACCTCATAAATTTGGAATTACCAGTAAATGGTGGCCCGAGAAATACAGCATTCACTCAGGCATGTGCACCAATACCAAACACGTGGCACAACAGTTTTTGCATGCATGTATAGACTACTACTAATTGAACTTACCTTCATCTCCTTCAGGAGCAAATGAGGCAGTAATGATGTCAATATCAGCACAGTTCATCACAATCTGATTGGTAGGATTTTTTTACCTGAATAGAAGAGACGACAAAATTCCTTAGTATCAGATATGACAAAGCACAGATTATATGTTGCTGACAGTTTATATTATCTTGCTGCTTCACAAAGAAAAAAAAAAAAAAAAAAAAAAAATCACACAGACTCACACCACATTGTTACAATATTAGTTATGATATATATATATACACATACACACGAGGAACAGAAGTATTTGAACACCCTGCGACAAATACATTCTTTAAAAATCATACAATGTGATTTCCTTAATTTTTTTTTTTTTCAATTCTGTCCCTCAGAGTGGGAATGCACTTACAATGTGAATTTCAGACCCCTCCATGATTTCTAAGTGGGAGAACTTGCAAAATCGCAGGGTGTTCAAATACGTGTGTTGTGTGTGTGTGTGTGTGTGTGTGTAAAAAAAACGACCTTGACAATCTAGAAGTGCTTGACTTATCTGCATAGACCAAAGCAAGGGCTCACAGAAAGCAATTCTTTTCCCTGTGCCCTCTTCACACCACAATGCTGCATTAATGTGGGTTGCGGTGTGTTGTCCACAACTGCAGATATGCTTCAATTTTGCATAGCGCAATCCACTTCGCGTAATGTTGTAGCATTGCAAAGCTGCATAAACTTGAATAAAGTGTAATTTTGCAACATTTCAATAAAGTTAAAAAAAAAAAAGGTAAACATAAAACAGACCTAAGGGATGTAAAAACACTAAAGCACCACCCCTAATTGCCCCTACATAACGTACACCAGCCTGCATGCATTTGGGATTGTGTGAATGAGCTCCAAAGCTAAAAAAAAAAAAAGTTACTCTTACCTACACTGACAACTGGTTTGCAAAACAGCACATCACACGTAAGCTCAGAATGAGCAAAACGAACACAAGGTGGATTAATCTATTAGTCTCGTATTCACCAATCGCCGTTTTGGTCGCGCTACATCGATGACGTGTTTGCGGTAAAGCATGGTGACATTCAATTCTGATTAGTGTTTCATGGCACGATTAGCAAGGCAGATAAGAACATACAGGTAAATACAGTCTGATTGCAAAAAGGTACCTTTCCTGGACACTTTGATCCAGACTTCTGGGTTCACATCATAGCGGAACTAAACTCATCAATATACCAGTTTCCAAAAACAGTTACATTAAACTCATGCTGTGAATGAAAACTGTCACATTTGCTTGTCCAAACTGTCAAGCCATCAAATGGCCTGGGTTCATACCTGATCACATGTGCAGCACCATGGCAACTGCAGATCAAACAGACTAAGATGGCTGCTTTCTTGCTATAAAAGGATGGGGGGGGGGGGGGGTGTTTTAGCTCTGCTTTAAATACAGATTCGTTAGCTGAACTGACAGATTGAAATCAACTTTTATATGAAGCTTTCATCCTCCTATACTTAAATCTTTTGCACATATGGAGTTTGATTTTCTCTTTAGAACGCCTTTTACTCCTGGCAGGAAAAAAGTGGCTTAAAAACAACCCTAGCGCTATGTATTACATATGTGTTTACGCTCATCAAGCTTTTGAGTGTTAATGGATTCTACTGGCCAAAAAATGTAATTATATTTATTATATATATTTATTACAATATTTTTTTTTTGCCCATCTTGTAAAATGATGCTCTTCTAATATACCTGTAAACGCCTGCATGGACACATAGGCTAACGTAGAGGTGCTTTTACAGGCTGGAAAAAAAAATAGATAGAAATGCCAAACGCTTGTACAAGAGGTGTTTTTTAATGCCTGAGTGCATGAGGCCTCACATTCCTTTTGCACAAATAATACGAAGCCATAGGGTGCTGTGATAAAAACTCCCGTGTGCATGCATGGGGGTTTGGTCATCCTGGCGAGGACAATTAAGATGGGCAAAAACCCTGAAACCTGAAGAAGCCTGCAGAATTTGCATCGTTGCGAGAGGCTGGTATTGTTCATTTTTAAGGACCAGAACAATTGTTTATATTGTAGCTATGGGGTTTATTGATTTGGCACTAACACCCCTCACATTTTTGTAAATATTTAATTCTATCTTTTCATGTGACAATGCTGAAGAAATTATACTTTGCTACAATGTCGAGTAGTGAGTGTACAGCTTGTATAACAGTGTAAATTTGCTGTCCCCTCAAAATAACTCAACACACAGCCATTAATGTCTAAACCGCTGGTAACAAAAGTGAGTACACCCCTAAGTGATAATGTCCAAATTGGGCTCAATTAGCCATTTTCCCTCCCTGGTATCATGTGACTCGTTAGTGTTACAAGGTCTCAGGTGTGAATGGAGAGAAGGTGTGTTAGACTTGGTGTTATCGCTCTCACTCTCTCATACTGGTCACTGGAAGTTCAACATGGCACCTCATGGCAAAGAACTCTGAGGATCTGAAAAAAAGAATTGCTCTACATAAAGATGGCCTAGGCTATAAGAAGATTGCCAAGACCCTGAAATTGAGCTGCAGCACGGTGGCCAAGACCATACAGCGGTTTAAGGGGACAGGTTCCACTCAAAACAGGCCTCGCCATGGTCGACCGAAGAAGTTGAGTGCACGTGCTCAGCGTCATATCCAGAGGTTGTCTTTGGGAAAAAGACATATGAGTGCTGCCAGCATTGCTGCAGAAGTTGAAGGGGTGGGGGGGGGGTCAGCCTGTCGGTGCTCAGACCATACGCCGCACACTGCATCAAATTGGTCTGCATGGCTGTCGTCCCAGAAAGAAGCCTCTTCTAAAGATGATGCACAAGAAGGCTCACAAATAGTTTGCTGAAGACAAGCAGACTAAGGACATGGATGACTGGAACCATGTCCTGTGGTCTGATGACACCAAGATAAATGGATTTGGTTCAGATGGTGTCAAGTGTGTGTGGCGGGAACCAGGTGAGGAGTACAAAGGCAAGTGTGTCTTGCCTACAGTAAAGCATGGTGGTGTCATGGTCTGGGGCTGCATGAGTGCCGCCGGCACTGGGGAGCTACAGTTCATTGAGGGAACAATGAATGCCAACATGTACTGTGACATACTGAAGCAGAGCATGATCCCCTCCCTTCGCAGACTGGACCACAGGACAGTATTCCAACATGATAATGACCAGAAACACACATCCAAGATGACCACTGCCTTGCTAAAGAAGCTGAGGGTAAAGGTGATGGACTGGCCAAGCATGTCTCCAGACCTAAACCCTATTGAGCATCTGTGGGGAATCCTCAAACGCAAGGTGGAGGAGCGCAAGGTCTCTAGTATATATATATAAAATGTTATGCTATCAATTGTCTGTTAGTAATGACCCCAAAATTGCTTTACACAAATAAAAGCATTTTTCACCGACATTGTGCACATTCTTTAATGGTACACTAAATTAAACTGGGAAAAAAAAACCAGACAAAAAAAAGTTTACAAAAAGGGTTGAGGGTTAAACATAAAAAAAAAATGCAGAAAAAAAAATTAGATAATGGCATATGAGAATTAATTATGGATGATAAGTGTTAAGTAAAGCAGTCTTAAATATCAATGTAAAATTAACTTGGGAACAGTGTTGCATGATGGAGTAATTGTCAAAAAAATCTCAGCACTGGAAATTGGAGTGGTATTACAGGCTAGTACTCAAGAAGTTATAAACAAAGTGGTGTGACCTAAATCTCTCAATGGACTCCAAAAAAAGAATTTCACAGTGAGTGCAAAAATCCTACAGCTGCCTCAATAAAGGACCTTGAACTAGAAGCTGGCATCAAATCAGGTTGCAACATCAACATAGTAGAGCTTTCTAAAGGCTGGTTCATACCAGACGCAGTACAGTGTTTTTTTTTTTCTGCATGAAAAAACACATGGACGGTAGATCATATGGGTTCCAATGGCATAGTTCACACCTGTGCAGTCCATTCTAGTGCAGAGGGGGGGAGAAAAAAAGAAAAAAAAAAAAAAAAAAGGAATATGCAGCATTGAACTGTATTGGAACATGGCCAACACATCAAAAATGCACTGGAACACATTACAGCAAAAAAAGAAAGAACAAAACAGAAAAACAAACAGGAAACCTTGCAAGAAAAAAAACAAGGGGGGGGGGGGGGGGGGGGGGGGGGGGGGGGGGGGGGGGGCGGGGGGGGGGGGGGGGGGTGGGGGGGGGGGGGGGGGGGGGGGGAGCTCACACTGGAATGCATTGAAAAAGAGGCATCAAAAACGAATGCAGATATGCATCCATAGGAACTACCATAGGCAAGAAGGAAGTCTGGCCCCAACATCTACAGTATGTCCCTATGCAAAATCAGAGAAGGTTGCTAGTAGAATAAGGCTGCCCTTTCAGACATTGACACCGTTGCTGGCTGCAGAAGTCTTACTGACAAATGTCCATGCCTAGGACGTATGAGAAGAGGAAGATCGGGGCTGCTCTGTGCAATACCACTGCACAGAGCAGGTGAGTAGAAAAGGTTAGGTATTTTAATTAAAAATATTTTTTTTTCACTTTAGTAACACTTTAACCACCTCCCACCCGCCATATAGTACAATGACGGACGCAAAGTGGTTCTCTCTTTCTGGAACGACGTCATATGATGTCCTACCATTCTAACCATGCATGCGCGGCTCCAGGAGTGCGCAGCGCGGCCATCGGCGGTGCGCTGTGTCCCTCGGACACACCGGATCACCGATCAACGGAAAAAGCTGAATATGTCAGCTCTGTCATGTGATCAGCTGTGTCCAATCACAGCTGATCACATGGAAATAGGGAAATGCAGGTTATAGGCATTTCTCTACTCACACGCTGACAGCTCGAGAGCAGAGGAGAGCCGGTAATTGGCATCCCTCAGAGGGGACATCGACACTGATCATCAGGGCACTGATGATCAGTGTGCCCTGATGATCAGTGTAGCCCCAGCCATGCCACCTATCAGTATCCATCAGTGCCAGCTGTCAGTGCTCATCCATGCCACCTGCCAGTGCCCATCAGTGCCACATCAATGCCACATATCAGTGCCCATCTGAGCTGCCTTTCAGTGTCACCCATCAGTGCTAGTTAGTGCCACCTATCAATGCCAGTCAGTGCTGCCTATCAGTGCCAATCAGTGCCGCATATCAGTTTGCATCAGTGCCCGTCAGTGCCGCCTAACAGTGCCAGTCAGTGCCATATATGAGTGCTGCCTTTCAGTGCCCATCAGTGATGCCTGTCAATGCCCGTCAGTGCCACCTACCAGTGCCTCCTCATCAGTGCCTATCAGTGCCCATCACTACAGCCACATTAGCGCACATCAGTGAAGGAGAAAAATCACTTAATTTACAAAATTGTATAACAAAAACCAAGAAAAAAACTTTTTTTTCAAAATTTTCAGTGGTTTTTGGTTTAAGAACAAATAAAAAACCCAGAGGTGATTAAATACCACCAAAATAAAGCTCTGTCTAAAAAAAAATGATAAAAATTTCATATGGGTACAGTGTTGCATGACTGCGCAATTGTCATTCAAAGTGTGATAGCGCTGAAAGCTGAAATGTGGCCTGGGCAGAAAGGGGGTATAAGTGCCCTGTAGGCTAGTGGTTAAACCTCTTCCATGGTGTAAACCAGCAGGAAACGGGAATTAAAGTGCTAGTGACCTATGCACTTGAGGTGGCTCCCGTTACTTGATCCAACCAGCCCACTCACAAAGTGAGTATTCAGAAACTGGGCAAGGCCAGCAACTCTGGTCCTGGAAAGTGTTCTGTGTCTAAATGTTACCAGAACAGAGTCTGGAAAGTGCACTATGCAGAACCAAGTGTCCCACAACGTCCAGTAGGGACTGGTGCAGTGCTCACTAATCCAGGCTGAGGATGGCTGAATTTGGAGACACCAGCTGTGGCAGCAGTGTTAAAAAAATAAATAAAAAGGTGTTTATTTTTGGCACAAACGATGAAGATAAAGAAAAAAACGGCAATTAAAAATTGGGTTAGTCTTTTACACAGCAGAGCTGAAGAAAAGACACCATTCCTAAAAAACTGGAGGATGCTGGTAGTAGCAGGGGCTATCCTGTGCTTGCCTACAGTTTTCCAGCGTCCATTCCTCCACTAAGTAACAGGATAACCCATAGATGACTTTCCTGTGTCCCAAAATAGGGGAAAAAGAATTGCAATCTAACAATGAGGTTGTTGTATTTCTCAATGAAGTTTCTGAAGCACCAATTAAAAAGTTTAGTTCTACGCAGCAGTGACTCCAGCTGTGTGATCCACAGCAAGTCCCGGCAACAGAGGCCAGGGGAAGCAAGGACCAGGACAAGTTCCTAAGTACTTTATTACAGTTTTTTAGGGCTTGCAAAGTCCCAAGCTTGTTAAAAATCATAACTGTGCAGCTATCCTAAAGATTAAAGATAAGGCAGGTAATTCCAATCATTTTCATTTTAAAAATTTACATTTTTAACTCTGTATTAAAAGCCAAAAATCAGACATTTATTATACTGCAGCTTACCACCAGTTCTTAGATGTGCTGGATTCATTAGTTTGCTTTTTAGACTTTTATCCTATTCTCACCTGGTAATACAGCCAGCAAATCTGTTCATTCACTGTACGAGCTCTCCAGCAGAATGTATCAGTTTACACGGATGAGACAAACCACCTAACACTGGCAGGGGCAACTACAACGATCAGCTTTTATTTATTCATATAAAACCTTTAGACCCCTTTCACAATAAAAAAACAGATCAGTTCACATCAGTTTACATCCATTTTTCACCAGTTCACCGTTCGTTTTTCATCCGTTATGTTTTTTTTCTAGTCATATAAAACCTTTAGACCCCTTTCACAAGAAAAACAGATCAGTTCACATTCATTTTTTTTACCAGTTCACGGTTCCTTTTTTGTCCATTATGTTTTTTTAAAGGAAAAAAAAAAAAAACCCGGATGCTAACGGATGTGGACATTAACAGATGTAAACAGATGATCACCCGTTTATATCCGCTAGTCCATAGAAATACATGGGTGTCAGTTTTTCATCTGTAAACGGACAGATGAAAACCGGACATACAGAAATCCTGTGTGAAAGAGACCTTATAGCAAAAGGGAAAATGGGTTTGCTGCAATTGATTATAAAGTGTGAGCTGGAGATCGGCTTCAATTTGTTAGTGGTTCTAAATCTGCTAATACATTTAACACTCCTTTCCCCTCCAGATTGACAATGCTGCTGTGCGCTGTGCCTCCTATGCTCAGTCCTTCAAAGATGTGTTTCACTAATACAGTAGGTGTGTTACTGGCCACCTCACCAGGTGAAAACAGAGAGGAAAAATCCAAAGAAAAGAAAACAGATGCAGCCGCCACATCCAATGATTGGTAAGCTGCAATGTATTACATTTTTGCTTCTGGGTTCAATACGCTTTAACACATTACTTTGCACTGTTACTTGACACTGATGCACTCAGAAGTCAGGGATGCTGATTTACTAAAGGAGCTGGGAATTTTGCTATATTATCTTTTGCTAGAGTTTTTTTTTTTGTCCCTGTACAATACTTTTATTAAAACATAGCCCACTCATTACATCTGGGTCCTCGTATCCTTTATAGAAAACACTTTATGATGTATGTACAAAAACAACCGCACTGAGAAAAAAAAAAAAAATTATATACATACATATATACACACACAAACACACACACACACACACATACAGTTGCAAGAAAAAGTATGTGAACCCCTTGGGATTACGTGGAGTTTTGCATGAATTGGGCATAAAATGTGCTCTGAACATCATCTAAGTCACAGCAATAGAAGAACACAGTCTGCTGAACATAATACTACACAAACATTAGATGTTGCCATGGTTTAATTGCACATAACATGTAAACATTCACAGTGCAGGGAGGAAAAAGTATGTGAACCTGTGAACTGGTTGACCCTCCTTTGGCAGAAATAACCTCAACCAAACATTTCCTGTAGTTGCAGATCAGACCTGCACAACGATCTGGAGTATTTTTGGACCACTCCTCTTCACAAAACTGTTTCAGTGTAGCAATATTCTTGGGATGTCTGGTGTGAATCGCTCTCTTAAGGTCATGCCACAGCATTTCAATCGGGTTGAGGTCAGGACTCTGACTGGGCCACTCCAGAAGGCGTATTCTGTGCTGTTGCAGCTATTGTTTTGCTGAATTACTTGTATGCTTTGGGGCATTGTCCTGTTGCATCACCCATCCTCTGCGGAGCTTCAGTTGGCGGACAGATGGTCATAGGTTTTCCTGCAAAATGTCTTGATAAACTCTGGAATTCATTTTCCCATCAATGACAACAATCTGTCCAGGCCCTGAGGCAGCAAAGCAGCCCCAAACCATGATGCTCCCTCCGCCATGTTTTACAGTGGGGATGAGGTTTTGATGTTGGTGTGCTGTGCCTTTTTTTCTCCACACATAGTGTTGTGTGTTCTTCCCAAACAACTCAATCTTGGTTTCATCTGTCCACAGTATATTTTGCCAGTAGTGCTGTGGAACATCCAGGTGCTCTTTTGCAAACTTCAAACGTGCTGCAATATTCTTTTTGGACAGCAATGGCTTCCTCCGTGGTGTCCTCCCATGTACTTCATTCTTGTTTAATGTTTTCCTTATTGTAGATGTGTCAACAAAAATGTTAGCATGTGCCAGAGATTTCTGTAGGTCTTTAGCTGACACTCTGGGATTCTTCTTTACCTCATGCAGCATTCTGCGCTGTGCTCTTGCAGTCATTTTTACAGGACGTCCACGCCTAGGGAGAGTAGCAACAGTGCTAAACTTTCTCCATTTCTACAAATCTGTCACAGTCTGTCTTACCGTGGACACATGAACATCAAGGCTTTTGGAGATACTTTTGTAACCCTTTCCAGCTTCATGCAAGTCAACAATTCTTGATCGTAGGTCTTCTGAGAGCTCTTTTCTGCGAGGCATGGTTCACATCAGACAGTGCTTCTTGAAACCAGTAACCCAAAACAGGTGTGTGTTTTTTAAGGGCAGAACAGCTGTCAGCAACACATCCAATATCATCACACTGATTGGAGTCAAGGTTGGCTCACTCCTGACTCCACTTAGCTCTGGGAGAAGTCATTAAGCTAGGGCCTCACATACTTTTTCCTCCCTGCACTGTGAATGTTTACATGTTATGTGCAATTAAAACCATGGCAACATCTAATGTTTGTGTAGTATTATGTTCAGCAGACTGTGTTCTTCTATTTGTGTGACTTAGATGACGTTCAGAGCACATTTTATGCCCAATTCATGCAAAACTCCACGTAATCCCAAGGGGTTCACATACTTTTTCTTGCAACTGTATATATACATATAGGTGAAACTCGAAAAATTAGAATATCGTGCAAAAGTTCATTTATTTCAGTTATGCAACTTAAAAGGTGAAACTAATATAGGAGATAGACTCATTACATGCAAAGCAAGATAGATCAAGCCGTGATTTGTCATAATTGTGATGATTATGGCTTACAGCTCATGAAAACCCCAAATCCACAATCTCAGAAAATTAGAATATTACATGCAATCAATAAAACAAGGATTGTACATAGGACAATATCGGACTTCTGAAAAGTATAAGCATGCATATGTACTCAGTACTTGATTTGGGCCCCTTTTGCAGCAATTACTGCCTCAATGCTGCGTGGCATGGAAGCTATCAGCCTGTGGCACTGCTGAGGTGTTATGGAAGACCAGGATGCTTCAATAGCGGCCTTCAGCTCTTCTCCATTGTTCGGTCTCATGTCTCTCATCTTTCTCTTGGCAATGCTCCATAGATTCTCTATGGGGTTCAGGTCAGGCGAGTTTGCGGTCCAATCAAGCATAGTAATCCCACGGTCATTGAACCAGGTTTTGGTGCTTTTGGCAGTGTGGGCAGGTGCCAAGTCCTGCTGGAAAATGAAGTCAGCATCCCCATAAAGCTTGTCTGCGAAAGGAAACATGAAGTGTTCCAAAATCTCCTGGAGGACGGCTGCGTTGACCCTGGACTTAATGAAGCACAGTGGACCAACACCAGCAGATGACATGGCTCCCCAAATCAACAAAGACTGTGGAAACTTCATACTGGACTTCAAGCATCTTGCAGTGTGTGCCTCTCCATTCTTCCTCCATACTCTGGGTCCTTGGTTTCCAAATGAGATGCAAAAGTTGCTCTCATCAGAAAAGAGGACTTTGGACCACTGAGCAACAAACCAGTTCTGTTTTTCTTTAACCCAGGTAAGGCGCTTCTGACATTTGTTGTTCAGGAGCGGCTTGACAAGAGGAATACAACATTTGAAGCCCATGTCCAGGATTCGTCTGTGTGTGGTGGCTCTTGATGCACTGACTCCAGCCTCAGTCCACTTCTTGTGAAAGTCCCCAACACTTTTGAATGGCCTTTTCCTGACAAGCCTCTCCAGGCTGCGGTCATCCCTGCTGCTTGTGCACCTTTTTCTTCCACACTTTTTCCCTTCCACATAACTTTCTATTAATGTACTTTGATACAGCACTTTGGGAACATCCAACTTCTTTTGCAATTACCTTTTGAGGCTTTCCCTCCTTATGGAGGGTGTGAATGATGGTTTTCTGCACAACTGTCAGGTCAGCAGTCTTTCCCATGACTGTGATTCCTACTGAACCAGACTGAGAGACCATTTAAAGGCTCAGGAACCCTTTGCAGGTGTTATGGTTTAATTAGCTGATTAGAGTGGGACACTTTGAGCCTAGAATATTGCACCTTTTCACAATATTCTAATTTTCTGAGATTGTGGATTTGGGGTTTTCATGAGCTGTAAGCCATAATCATCACAATTATGACAAATCACGGCTTGAACTATCTTACTTTGCATGTAATGAGTCTCATATATTACTTTCCCCTTTTAAGTTGCATTACTGAAATAAATGAACTTTTGCACGATATTCTAATTTTTCGAGTTTCACCTGTATATTAAGGCTCCATGTAGATTAGTGTTAAGCTCCTAGAAGCTGTCGTCAGCATTTTTTCTGCTCCTAGAAGCTAGAGTGTTAGCCTATGCACACTATTTTAGGCTAGAAGCGTTTTTCAAGCTTCAGTGTTTAGGAGCAGAAAAAAAAATGTTTTTGTAAAATTTTTGGGAGAGTATTTCCAGCAGAAAAAAGGGGGGGGAGAAACACTCCTAAAAACCCCTATATGTACTGTAAAAATGCTAAATGAAAAAAACGCTCCTAAATGCTACTAAAAAGCGCCATCACGTACGTTTTTTTCTTCCAGCGTTTTCGGAGCTTAAAAAAAAAAAATAGTGTGCATGGAGCCAAAAAGCAGATTTTGTAAGATTATTTTTGCCTTGAATGTAAGGGATTTTGCCTTGTTTTCCATTTCAGCTTGCACTTGCCTGTTTCCTATAGATGCCGTCTTCTCCCTGACCATGGCTCAATATAGTGTACAGCTCAGGTCACAAATGGCAAGAATTGGGGGCATCTGAGGCATGCGCTAAGTAGAGGGTTGACATGTTGCCCATTGATGGGTGTGGGGTGAGAACTGTAGTAGAACCGGTAAAGAGTACAGCAAATGTCCCAGGAAGAAATGAGAAATGTCCCGTAATGAGAGGTTACAGATTGTGCAAATATAGATGTAGTTTGCAAATGGATTATACTGGAAACTTGACAGTATTAGCAGTGAAACAGAGATCAGAGCACTAGCACAGCTCCAAAAGACATTCCATTCACACCTGAGTGTAGCGGAAACACATGTTCTCGCTGGCAATTTTTTGCGTGTTTTTCCAAGCATAAACGTGCGTCACACATGGTTGCCCTACGCACAAAAAACACCCCAAAGTAGCTCAAGAACGTTTCTTGGTCATGAAGTGCGACATCTTTTTCAGTGCACATTTTTAGTGCGTCTGCTTAACACGATTGGAATGTCAATAACAATCAGGCTGCATTCAAATCTACGCACTTCCCAAGAAGCAGCAACCCACACAGAAACCAGGCGCTTTACTGCGCATTTCAAAAATGTGCTACAAACCCACACTGCGCTTGTGTCGCCATCATGGAAACGTTCTGAAACTTGTTGCAAAGTGCAAGTATTCTGAGCAGGTTGGTGCGTATTTGGAAACACGCAGATACAAACACAGCCTAAATGACAACTCACATGTGACACGCGTTTCGGAAACGCACAGCAAAGTGCACGTTTTCTATGCGAGTTGCCGCATGTTTGGAAACACGCAGACGAGAACGCAGCCTAAATGGCAGCGCAATAATGGCATGCATTTCCGCACGTGTTGCCATGGGTTTGGAAACACGCAGATGTGAATGCAGCCTAAATGGCAACGCAAGCGTGACACGTTTCTGCACGTTTTCTGTTCCAGTTGCCGCACGTTAGGAAACGTGCAAACGCAGCCTAAATGGCAACAAGCACAACGCGGGTTTATCGTGTACTTCTGCATTCAGATCTGTGTGTTTTCAAATGCATGGAAACCGCAAAGAAGACATGTGCTTTGTCACACATTTCAGAAATGCTTGGCAAACATATATCGCACTTGCATTGGCACATTATACGCTTTTGCTGAAACGCGCATTGTGCTTGCATTGCCATTTAGGCTGCGTCTGCATCTGCACATTTTGGAATGCGCAGCAAACCGCAGAGAACAATTTAGGCTGCATTCGCATTTGTGCGTTTCTAAATGTGTGATGTGCGTTTCTGTGTGAGTTGTCATGCATGTGAAAACGCGTAGATGTGAACGCAGCCTAAATGACAGCGCAAAAGGTTTGCTGTGTTTTCAAAACACGCAGCAAAGTGCACGCTTTCTGGGCAGGTTGCCACACACTCCGAAACGTGAAAAGGTGAATGCTGGATAATTATTAATGACATTCCAATCGTGGTTAGCAAAATGTGTATGCTGCGTGCCAAAACATGCTCCAAATTTGCCAAAATACACAACCAAAAAGTTTCTTGTGCTACTATGGTGTATTTGTTGCTCTTAGGGCAGCCTGTTTAGTGAATGGGCTGTCCTATGAGCGAGGGGTGTCGATGTGTGAAAAACACACAAAAAGTAGGAACATGCATTTTAGTTAGCGTGAATGGGATGTGTTAGGGAGAACGTTTTTAGGCAGAAAGATGACCAGGGAGGAGAGGTGAGGGTAAAAAAAAGAAAAAAAAAAAAAGTCATCCATCAAAGTTGCATTCTTAGCTATACTGATGTGACTTCTGTGAGATAACAGACATCTTTTGGTCCAAGTTACACATGGAGTTGAACAAAAAGTAGTGAGCCTGCGACTAGAGCCAGGGCAATTAAGATGGCACCCACTGAAATTAATGTGTTTTGACTTGGCATCCGACTTTCTGTGACACATCAGAAGTTGCGCTAGTGTGAACTGAACATTACCCTCCGGTCTTCTGACTGGTTCACCTACATTACTCTATACACCCTCTGGAAACATGTTGTAGGAAGGTTTCAGAGTTCCTGGCTGTCCACTTTCCTGATCATTTTACATTACTCACATCCTATCTCCTCCCCATCCCCTGGGGCATCTAAACTCTTCTTTAGTATCTTCTGGGAACCTGTTCCAGGTGCTTCACTGTAAAACATACCTCACACAAGCTATACACAGTCATCCACAACCTATTACCCCCCCCCCCCCCCCCCCCCCCCCAAGCCTTCAGATTCTTACTGTTCATTCAACTGAAAACTCCACTATACTGCTCATCTTCCAAGTCCTACCCATAATACTAACATTTCCAGAAGTGAGACCTGTACCTGCACACAAAGGCTCACTACCCGCCATCCATGGCACATTCTCTCTCAACATACAAGCACCCTTGCCAGAGTCTGATCTTTGTTCTCAAAAGTTCACTACTCTCATTTCTGCTCTGACGTTCTCTCCAGTCATAGTTACACAGCCATCACATGCTCTTCTGCCTACACAAGCTGTGAGAATTTAATTATGCACTGTAAAGAAAAAAAAATTATAATATATACACACACACACAATATATATATATTTTATTTTGTGGCAGTGCGGTATCCTGCCACAGTGAAATTCATGGTGATGACCCAGGATTCTCAACTATACAGGTTGAGGGGCTTCAGGCAGTTCTCATAATGCAGAGGAAGCTGGTTTATCAGTTTCCTCTTTGGTTTGTAAAGCCCGTTTTGGGACCTGTGGCCTGGAGATTTCTAAGTGATTTGGGAGGGATGAAATCTCCAATCCTGGGTTCATGTTTTGAAAGCAGCCATCACACTGATTGCACAGGTGTGTGCAGGCTTTTTGTAGCGGCCTAACCAGGGTTCTGGGCTCCACCCTGACAGAAAGGAGGTCACTGCCTTGGAGTCAGGTGGGCTTCACCTAGGAGAGGTGGAAACCAGAGTAGCTGTGTGCTAGTGGCCAGCTGTGTGCGAAACAACCATTTTGGAAGAGTCTGCAGGAAACAAACGTAAATCTGTGTAGAAGCCAGGAGGCTGAATATTTGTTGCAGTTGTTTGATGGTGGATACCCCTGCATGGGAAGCATGTTTTTCAACTTTTGTGTAAATAAAACTGGGCTAAAAGGCCTTTAAAAAAACAAGAAGAAGCGAGTTGCTGTGTGCTTTAAAAAAAGCTCTACCATTTTGATGCGAGTTCTTACTATATATACACACACACACACACACGCACAAAGAAAAACCCATTCACAACATCCAGACAAGTGATGGACACTCTCCAGGAGGTGGGCGTATCATTGTCAAAGTCTACAATCAAGAGAAGACTTCACGAGAGCAAATACAGAGGGTTCACCACAAGGTGCAAACCATTCATAAGCCTGAAGAATAGAAAAGCCAGATTAGACTTTGCCAAAAACATCTAATAAAGCCAGACCAGTTCTGGAAAAGCATTCTTTGGACGGATGAAACTAAGATTAATGTGTACCAGAATGATGGGAAGACAAAATTGTGGAGAAGGCTTGGAACAGCTCATGATCCAAAGCACACAACGTCATCTGTAAAACATGGTGGAGGCAGTGTGATGGCATGGGCATGCATGGCTTCCAGTGGCACTGGGTCATTGGTGTTTATTGATGATGTGACAGAAGACAGAAGCAGCCGGATGAATTCTGCAATGTTTAGAGATATACGGTCAGCCCAGATTCAGCCAAATGCAGCAAAGTTGATTGGACGGCGCTTCACAGTACAGATGGATAATGATCCAAAACACACAGCAAAAGCAACTCAGGGGCTTTTGAAAGAAAAGAAGTGGAATGTTCTGCAATAGCCGAGTCAATCACCTGATCTCAACCCAATTGAGCATGCATTCCACTTGCTGAAGGCAAGACTAAAGGCAGAAAGACCCACAAACAAAGAACAACTGAAGACAGCTGCAGTTAGAGCCTGGCAAAGCGTCCGAAAGGAGGAAACCCAGTCTTTGGTAATGTCCATGGGTTCCAGACTTCAGCCAGTCATTTCCAGGAAGGGATTCTCAACAAAATATTAAAAATGAACATTTATTTATCATTATATTCATTTGTCCAATTACTTTTGGTCCCTTGAAAAAGGGGGGATGGCTACTCTTAAGAGCTGTAACTCCTAAACCCTTTCTCCAATTTGGATGTACATACCCTCAAATAAAACCTGAGAGTGTGCACTTTCAGCCCATATCCATTATAGAACTATAGCTTGGATATGTTTTCGTCAATACCTGAAAAAAAAAAAAAAAAAATTGTGCCTGTGTACAACTATATATGAACCTTACATACATACACACACATATATACAGTGAAGGAAATAAGTATTTGATCCCCTGCTGATTTTGAATGCTTGCCCATTCACAAAGAAATGATCAGTCTACAAATCGAATGGTATGTTTATAATAACACAGACAGAATAGCAACAAAAAATTCAAAGGAAATGCATGTCTAAGAAATGATGCACTGATTTGCTTGTTCATGAGGGAAAGAAGTATTGATGCCCTATCATTCAGCAGGATTTCTGGCTACCAGGTGTCTTTCATACAGGTAACAAGCTGAGATTAGAAGCAGTCTCTTAAAGGAAGTGCTGCTAATCTCATTTTGTTACCTGTATAAAAGACACCTATCCACAGGAGCAATCAAACAATCAGATTCCAAACTCTCCACCATGGCAAAGACCAAACAGCTGTCCAAGGATGTCAGGGACAAGACTGTAGACCTATACACAAGGCTGGACTGGGCTACCAAACTATCGCCAAGCAGCTTGGTGAGAAGGTGACAACAGTTGGTGCAATCACTCGCAAATGGAAGCAACACAAAACAATTGTCAGTCTCCCTAGGTCTGGTGCACCATGCAAGATCTCACCTCGTGGAGTACCAATGATCATGAGAACAGTGAGAAATCATCCCAGAACTACACGTGAGGATCTTGTCAATGATCTCCAGGAGGAGGAGGAATGCTGCCTATGACCCCAAGAACACCATCCCAACTGTCAAACATGGTGGTGGAAACATTCTGCTTTGGGGGTGTTTTTCTGCTAAGTGGACAGGCCAACTGCACCACATCAAAGGGACAATGGACAGGGCAATGTACCCTCAAATCTTGGCTGAGAATCTTCTTCCCTCAGCCAGGGCATTGAAAATGGGTCGTGGATGGGTGTTCCAGCATGACAATAACCCAAAACACACAGCCAAGGCAACAAAGGAGTGGCTCAAGAAGAAGCACATTAAGGTCCTGGAGTGGCCTAGCCAGTCTCCAGACCTTAATCTGATTGAAAATCTGTGGAAAGAGCTGAAAGTTCGACTTGCCAAACGTCAGCCACCAAACCTTAATAACTTGGAGAGGATCTGCCAAGAGGAGTGGGCCAAAATCCCTCCTGAGATGTGTATAAACCTGGTGGCCAACTACAGGAAACGTCTGACCTCTGTGATTGCCAACAAGGGATTTGCCACCAAGTACTAAGTCATGTTTTGTGAAGGGGAACAAATACTTATTTCCCTCATGAACATGCAAATCAGTGCATAATTTGTTAGACATGCATTTCTTTTGAATTTTTTGTTGCTATTCTGTCTCGCACTTTTTTAGCCAACTGTGCCACTGCTGGAAACATTCCTGGAATTTGTTTTCCAAAATGCTGCACAGTATCTTTGTTGCAGCTCACTGGATGTCCAGAATGTCATCAAATCTGTTTCCTTTTAAGGCATTTTTTAATTTTGGAAACAGCCAAAAAAAGTCTCAGGATGCCAAGTCAGGGGAATATGTTGGTTGGTTAAGTTTCAGAAAGGATTTCTGGGCCAATAACTTGTGAACACGTAATGCATCATGTGCAGGAGCATTGTCATGGTGGACAATCCACTTGTCAGGCCAGAGGTCCAGTCATTTTCTCCAAACAGATTCCTGTGACCTTTTCATTTTCCACATTTGCATCCGTTCTTCGCGTTTTTTGCTGCCCACTTCTTGTGTTATAGTGGACATCTTCTCACCTCTCCTTAAACCACCTATGCCATCCACTTTTGCCAATTTTCGTGCAAAATTTTATGTTATTTCGCTGCTCCAAATTCCTGTCACTCATTTTCAGCCACCAGCGCAACACTTGTTATTTCTTCTACTACTTCATAAAGAATCAACTGGTCTGTGACCCAGACAAGTGCAAGTTAGAACAAGTTTGAGCGCATATGGTTGTGTGACTCACTTCCACAGTGCTATCCTGCGGGCATTCTGGGGATTAAGCTGTCACACCTCCTACATGACCTTTTGCCTATTATGGCTTATATACACTATATTGCCAAAAGTATTGGTCGGCCTGCCTTTACACACATATGAACTTTAATGGCATCCCAGCCTTAGTCCGTAAGGCTCAATATTGAGTTGGCCCACCCTTTGCAGCTATAACAGCTTTAACTCTTCTGGGAAGGCTGTCCACAAGGTTTAGAAGTCTGTCTATGGGAATGTTTGACCATTCTTCCAGAAGGGCATTTGGGAGGTCAGGCACTGATGTCAGATGAGAAGGCCTGGCTTGCAGTCTCTGCTCTAATCCATTCCAAAGGTGTTCTATTAGGTTGAGGTCAGGACTCTGTGCCAATCAAGTTCCTCCACCCCAAACTTGCTCTACCATGTCTTTATGGACCTTGCTTTGTGCACTGGTGGGCAGTCATGTTGGAACAGGAAGGGGCCATCCCCAAACTGTTCCCACAAAGTTGGGAGCATGAAATTGTCCAAAATGTCTTGGTATGCTGATGCCTTAAATAGTTCTCTTCACCGGAACGAAGGGGCCAAGCACAACCCCACACCATAATCCCCCCTTCACCAAACTTTACCCTTGGCACAATGCAGTCATGACAGTACCGTTCTCCTGGCAACCACCAAACCCAGATACGTCCATTGAATTGCCAGACAGAGAAGCACAATTCTTCACTCCAGAGAACATGTCTCCACTGCTCTAGAGTCCAGTAGCAATGTGCTTTACACCAACGCATCCGACACTTTGCATTGCACTTGGTGATGTAAGGCTTGCATCTGTTCGGCCATGGAAACCCACTCCATGAAGCTCTCCATGCACTGAAGGCTACATGAAGTTTGGAGGTGTTTAGCTATTGACTCTGCAGACAGTTGGCAACTTCTGGCACTATGCGCTTCAGCATGTGCTGACCCCGCTCTGTCATTTTACGTGGCCTACCACTTCGTGGCTGAGTTGCTGTTGTTCCCAGTTGCTTCCACTTTGTTATAATACCACTAACAGTTGACCGTGGAATATTTAGTAGTAAGGAAATGTCACAGATGGACTTATTGCACAGGTGACAACCTATCACGGTACCACGCTTGAATTCACTGAGCTCCTGATAGCGACCCATTCTTTCACAAATGTTTGTAGAAGCAGTCTGCATGCCTAGGTGTTTGATTTTATACACCTGTGGCAATGGAGGTGATTTGAACATCTGAATCAAATGATTTGGAGGGGCGTCCTGATACTTTTGGTAATATAGTGTATTTAGATAGATATTCTCTACCTAACAGGGGACACAGAAGCAAAAACTTGACAGGGCTTCAATACTTTCCCATATACAAAAAAAAAAAAACATACATGCACCAGATACATATCACTTCAGGGTATGATTACATATACAGCAGTGATTGACGGCATGGATAGGAGGAAAGGCAAGTATTTAAAGAGGAGTTCCACTCACCCTGACAAAAAATAAAACTGTAGCTGCTGACTTTTAAAAAAACAGCCACTTACCTGTCTTTCGGTGTGTCCCCTGCAGCCCGTTTCACCAGCCGTCCTGAATTCCTGGAGGCCAAACATCTTCAATGTGGGCACCCGGGCCGTGACTGCTTGCACATGCGTGAGTAGCGCAGCGCTTCATGAATGGCCCTGTAGTCTTCTGGGACCGGTCACGTGTCCCAAAAGACTAAAGGGAGGGAGGACACCTTCTCTTTCCGATCACCTAGGCGATTGGACCGGAAGTGGGAGCGGGTACCTGTCAAATTCAGGTACCAAAGGTGCCAATCCTTAATGGGGAGCGGGGGAGGAGTCCTTAAAGCGGAACTTCCCATTTTGGGTGGAACTCCACTTTAACCTCCCTAAACACAGATATAAAACTTTCCTGGGGAATTTGTGCATAGTGTCAGGGTCACATTAATAGAAACATTCCAGCTAGGAATTGAACTCTTTCCTCTTTCATCTGTAGAGCAAGTCCAAGTCTAGCCTATTAAGTGATCAAATACCTAGTGAAAACCTAGAATGCCATCTCTAAATTATTTTGGTTTGATGAACATGTCTCCAATCATTCTGGAAGGTCCAAATAAAATTAGAATGATTACATCACATTAAAATGAAAAGAAAAAGAACAAATATTCCATCATGTTTATAGTTAACTCCACATTTAAGACCAGGTTACAGGTTATACACAAATTTAAGTTGTAAAATGGTGCCAAGCGGAATCACCCCATCTCCTCTGAAAGCTGCAGGGGTTCATCCCCCTCTACTCCACAGCAGCTTTGATCAAAATTGAAAAAGGAGTGGCTTTCCTTCACAGAGATCTGTGGCACCACAGCAGACAAGCCTTTACTCTCCAATGGGACACAAGTGCAGTCATCACCACACTCAGTCCATTGATACTTCCTACACCTTGGTATGGATGGAAAACTAGAGGAAGAGCTAGCAGGAGCCTGGCGCTGTACACACAAACCACCGATTGCAGCTGCAATGGTCTGCAGGCTCTTGCAAAAAAAATGCCCATTTTTCTGCACATACTGTATTTGTGCATTTATTATTTTTGTTTGCAAAAGGTGGACGTAGTCTTCAATTAAAGGGACAATAGAAAGGCCTGAAATTGCTTTAGGTATATGTTAAAGTAGAAATTAGATTTTCGTAACAGTGGAAACCTTCTGCCACCCTTTTATGACAATGAATATCAGTCAGCCCAACACACACCTAGGGACCTGAGGTTTCCTAGAACAGAACTTTCCTTTAGATTTCCTTTATGTATTCCATGTTAAGAACCCATCCCTAAACATGTCTTGACACGGGAGCACATTACAGTCCCAAAGGGAGCTGCAAATTAGAGATTTATGTTGTAAGAAGCGTATGCATTCAAACCCTCAAAGAAAACTGCCCTCATTACATGACACAACAAAGCAATTTCAATACAGAAACATATTCACAAACACCAGATCACATCTATACAATAAAGGAAAATCCCAATCTATGCAGAGATTTACTTATACGGAGGCTTAAAAGAGTTCGTTACTTTGAAGCAACAGAATCGCTAACAATCAAACAGCATTGTACAATACTAAGGCCTGGTTCACACGTTTTTTTTTTAGTGTGTTTGGCAGAAACGCATTACAGTCCATTTAACATGGTTTCCTATGGGACACGTTCACATCTGTGCATTTTCAGCAAGGGTCAGGGACTTTTTTCCTGCAGAAGATTGCTTTTTTTGTGCAACAGACTTCAATGGAACTGCACCAAGAAAGCAAGTGTTGCGTTTCTGATGCGGTTTGCTAGTTTTGGCCAATAGGAAATTATTGAGTGCAACTTTGATCTATTTAACATGGTTTCCTATGGGACACGGTCACATCTGTGCGTTTTCAGCCGCTGTGTTTTTGGAAAGGGTCAGGGACTTTTTTCCGCAGCAGATTGCATTTTTTGTGCAACAGACTTCAATGGAACTGCGTTTTGCTATTTTTCGACCAATAATAAGTATTGAGTGCAACTTTGATGGGACTTTACACTCTCTGGCACCCCAGTCGCATCAAAGTTTAATGCATTTTACATTTTTGAAAATGTCCCTGCACTAAACGGGTTAAAAACACGTGCTCAAAAACAAAAAACACATCAATCACAACACGCATAGGAATGAACCAGGCCTTATAAAGCTAGCTTTTTTAAAAGTCCTATTACTTCACACACCTGTAAATATAATTTTTCTATGTATTTACATACCGATCAAGATGCCCACCCAAAACAACACAGCTGAGCCAAGCCAACACTTTCAGCGGTGCTTAAAAAAGGTTTAAAGACCTGTTTTGCTGGCCTTTTTAAACCTCCACCCGTGGATTCATGTTGATCTATATCAGGGGTGGGCAAACTTTTTGACTTGAAGGCCGCAATGGGTTCATATATTGGACCCGGGGGCCGGACCAAGAGTAGATATAGTAATTCATCCCCCATATAGTAATTCATCCCCCATATAGTAATTCATCCCCCATAGTAATTCATCCCCCATATAGTAATTCATCCCCCATAGTAATTCATCCCCCATATAGTAATTCATCCCCCCTATAGTAATTCATTCCCCATATTCCCGTGTCAATTTACTTACCTTTGCTCCGGGGGTTCCTCTCGCCGTGTTCCCGCGCCGTTCCGGTCTTCAGGGCGGACTGTGAGAGGAGCCTAGCTCCCCTCACGTTCGTCACGCTGCCCCGCCTACACACATCCTGACAGCAATCCTGACAGTATCACGCTCCGCGGGCCGGATTAAAAGGTCCGCCGGGCCGTAGTTTGCCCATTGCTGATCTATATGAACTTGGTATACTGTACTTTACCCCTCTGTGGATATTTTTGAAAACGTTACATGTAGCAATTTGGAACACACATTAGACTCATGTATGGAGTCTATACTTTTCTTGTGTTCTGCTGATATCCTCTAAATAAAAAAATAGAATAAAAAAAAAAAAAAAGGAAATTTAAAAAACCCAGTCACCAACTATTACTTCCTCAACAAAGCACAAGCTGGCAAACGGCATTAAATGCACCCACTTTTCATGCTTTTTCTTTAGTGAAAAGCTGACTTCTTCCTGAAATCTGTATATATGCAGCTGAAATTGGCACTTGTGAAGTGTTAGAATGAGGGTCTTCTCTCTCTCCTGCCCTGCTGTATGTCATCACTTACATTCAATCGCAACAGTGTTGACTGTTATCCCTTTATTTGCAATAAAATGTCATTGAAATTGAATCGTGCTGTTTTCCTGCATTCAGGCACCTGTTGCTTCTCCTATGCGCATACAGGCCTGCAGCAGCCAATCACCTACTTCCAGCCTGACAAAGTAGGAATACAGCCCTGTTTGTGACATCACCTGCCCATCATTGCTGAAGTCCTACCCAAGTGTGACATTATTAATTTATTTATGGTACTTATATAGCGCCGTCAATTTACGCATTGCTTTACATATTTATTACATATATATTTGTACATTCACATCAGTCCCTAACCCTCAAGGGACGTACAAGCTAAAGTCCCTAACTCACATTCATACATACACATACTAGGGACAATTTAGACAGGATCCAATTCACCTACCAGCATGTCTTTGGAGTGTGGGAGGAAACCCACACAGGCACAGGGAGAACATGAAAACTCCAGGCAGGTGTAGCCATGGTTGGGATTCAAACCAACGCCCCTATTACTGCCAGGCCGAAGTGCTAACCATTTAGCCACTGTGCTGCCCATCAACCCGTTTTTGCTTTTAGTTTCAGTACATCACTTGTGTGACTGAGGAGGTTCCCATGTCAACTGCCACTGTCTGGGGTGGGAGTTTGTTCCCAAGCCACTCTCCTCAGGACATTCCCCATGATCACGCAGAACTGTCAGGTGGGTGACAAGGGCACAGGCCTGTCACTGTCACCATCGCCAAACACAAAATGGTGACATCCAGCAGCATTTCAGCTCCACATGGAAGAAGTTATCTTTGGGGCAATTAAAGACCACAATAATTAGGCACTAAATTAAAAAAAATAAATAATAATTAACAATGTTTCAAGGGAAAAGTGAGTGCATTTCCAAAGTACATTTATAATAAAATGCAGTGGTATAGCTTTACCATGGCAGCTTAACAAAAAAAAAAAAAGAATGCACATTTATAAAGACGTTTTATAGAGATGTGCTTTAAAAATGTGCTTAGAGGGCTGCTGGTTTTGAGACTATTATTGAAGGCCCCCCCCCCACAGACATACAATTAGGACATAAAGGACAAACGCAAGTTAAGGTATCACTGCAGGTGTTGGAGTTACAGGAAAAGTTATAGGGCCATAAATAATGGTTAAAGTACAAGTAAATATCTTGCACAGTTCTCCACTATTAATGACCCTCGATCAGGCCCAATATTCACCGAGAAGTCCTACTCAGAGCCACATAGCCTTTCTCCTGAAAATTGCCCCTTCATTCTGCGCACTGGCATTGCAGCCCTATTCCCCCCATTGGAAAGCCATGCTCATAGAACAGTAAACTAGTCACTAGTACGGCTTTTAAATGGGAAAAGGTTTTGCTACACCGACAAGAAATCCAAGGAGGTGACAGAATTTTCACCATTTCTGCCTGGCGATATGTTCCTTTTAGCATTGTAAAGTAGAACTTCACTCTCTCAATCAACACTGACTATT